TAAGCTACGAAATAAAGAAATTTTAGTTCAAAATCAAATCGTTCGATTTTTGCGGCAGACGTTCGACGCGCGTCTTTCATGCATCTCGCGAGATCTCGCAATTGTACGGAAAATCACCTATTATCCTAAATAATATTTCTCAAAAGTAGTTCAGAAACTTGTGTGCTTTTTGATGACCTGGAATGATTCATTCTGATTGGTTTATCAGTGACCTACTGAGTCAGCTTAGACTAGTAATGGCAGCCATTTTAAAACACCGGCAATCATTAACTGCTTTGCAATGTATTTTGGTAAAGTTTGGAATTGGTAATATTTTAAAATCATAAATGAAATAATGCCAGCGTTTTTTTTTTTGTGGAAAATTTGTTTTTCTTGGATGGAACTTATTTCAGAATCATCTCGAGTGGTGTGCAGAGGGCACTTATTCATTAGATTTTTTGTTTGCAATAGAAAAAAAAAATCCAACCACCAAAAATGTTGTTTTATTCACAAGAATGTGGAGTTTAGAGATTGGTATTTTCAAAGATCGCTGAGCTAATGGAGCTTTTTCTGTAATAGTGATTATAAACAGCTCTGCAAACCAGAATTGTATTAATATAATTCATGATCAAACAAAACTAATATTTGTACTGAAAATAATCAGAATTAAACCTTTAATAATCTTTTTTCTGAGCAAGCTGCCATGCCTTACTTAGTCCTTGAAAATTACTCAGTAGTGGAATATGAAAATGTTATAATAAATTTCCTGACTATTGCATAATGACATATTAATATAGTTGCACAAATGTGTCTGTAAATGGCTTGTTCTGTGTCGCCACCCAAACCGCTTATATGTAGCATTGATTGCTCTTAGAATTACTATCTTGCACGATATTACTAGATTTTATTAAATACGACAGTCCCAATATGGACGTGAAGGCTCTTCAGTACGCTGTCAATAAATTGTTTTGTTTTGATTAACATTAAATTCATTTTCAAAAAAAAATTAACTCTTAGATTTCTCTAAAATATTCTCAATATTATTTTCCTTATTTATGCTTGTGTATGTTAAATTAGTCTGACTAAATGTCAGTTTTAAATTACTATCTCTAATATATTTGAATAAATTGATGAGTCTTTGTGTCTAAATAGAAACTGAATGAATTAGTTTTTCTATCTCGTAGTGGATATGAACTCTGTCAACAAATGTCCTTCAATTCGGAAGTCAAGCCCTTAATTGACATGGAGATTGTAAACAACTGTCTCTTGATGAGATCTGCTTGGCTGTGTACGTCTCAAACCACCAATGGGTGGCGAATATAGCTGTTAAGACTTGTGTTGTCAATACTTGTACTTCTCCATATTTAAATTTAACATGCACTTTTCATCTTGGAACATGATACGCTGAATGGTCACACCTGTTCTATTTGATGCTGTACCTGTGCCTACATACATGTAATAAGATAAATTTAAGACATATTATTTAAATACAATTTTAATTATTGGCTCATCATTATTTCAAGTCTTAAAAATTCTAAAAGCACTTTTCTGGATATTAGCAACATTGTACTACCCAAATTGGGCAGTTTGATATTTGATATTTTTATTTGCCTGTCCGCGAGAACTGACAATTTATTGATTTATTTGTCCCAGCCTAAATCTGTCTGTCTGAGACAGGTGGACTAGCTTTAATTTTGACCTCTTTTTTTTTTTTCTGGTAAACGAGTGTAAATTTGCATGCTGATTTACTAACCCTAACCCTGTCTACTCCACAATTGAGATGTGCACTACTGTTATCTTTATCCAATTACAGTCATCCAATCAAAACACTGAACTCTACTATCCACTCCTTGCGAAACAGAGCAGCGAAATCTACCATATTTCTTGACCCCATCTTATCAGTGATAGTCTTTGATTATCAAAAATAAAGTTCGCTAAAAATCTCACTTGAAATTTATATTATTAATTAAAATCGTATTAAATTGTACAATTTTATGAAAGCATGATAATATATTTGAATTGAGCAAAATGTAATGATTTAAGTTTGCCCGTTACATGTGATGCCGAATAATTTAGGTCATTGCCTCTCAGCGCTTGTCAGTCTTTGTTAGAGGTTTAAATGATGATATTGTTTTCATGTTTCTTTGTCTTTGTCAGTAATAATATCATTTCTCTGGGGTATCCTATCATCTCTGATAACTGTTCATGAGTTATCACTCAAATGTGGTGTGAAAATGACATTACAAGGAAGACAAGACACTGAATGCATGTTATGTGGCTTTAATCCCCGGTGGAAGAGATATCATTCATCCCACTCGGAACTGTCTGGACAAAGCAGAACTGTTGACAATCACGTTGATTGACTCTCCAATAATTTCTTTTTATGGCTGAATTAAATTATCGTGGCCAATCAAGTCGATTGTTATGAATGGTAATGGGTTGTTTATGGTTTTCACTCAAATTCTATACATGCACTCTGTGTTGCTTTAGTAAATAAGGTACACAAAGAACATTTCATATTATTACAATCATGACATGATTTTTGTTGTTAGAATATATTTTTTGTTCAAGGTAACTTTTTTTTGTATGCAAATTTCAAGTGCGAGTGGTATTTTGCCACATAAATTATATTCCTGTTTGGGACTATGTAAATCCAGTAGTTGTTTCAACCATCTGTGCTGTGAACAATCTAGTCTAAAAGTGGTCTGCTGTGAACCATTTATTTTGCACTTCTAGGAATTTCACGATTTGATGAAATAATGACGTTAACAAGGACAGCATTTTGCGAAAGCTCCTGTGTTTTTTGAACCAAATTGAAATTTGACTGAGCTACAAAAATTTGATTCTGTCTCTTGGGAGAAAATTGATGCAATTTTGACAATTATGAAGGTCTTTGACCGTTTTCCCACAGACTCTAATAAACTTAACATCACAATGTCTGGGTTCGTAAATAATATTGTAATAAAATGTGAGCCTTTATGTTTTTGTTCATTGTAAAAGTGGTGGTGTGTTGTTGAAATCATTGATGACTCAACTTGTTTTGTAAAACATTGTTTTATTTTCCCTGTGATATGCCAACAAACCTGTCAAATAGTTGTCATTTTGTAAATATTTTAAGGTGGGTGCTTGGCTGAGTGCCTTTAATAAAAATTCTGATTTTCTGAGTTCAGATCACCAAGACTTTGTCGGTCGGATACATTACTTAGCATATCAATAACTTCTAGTTAGATTGCATTGTTCAATATTAAAGCTATGCTGTCTTGTGCCCTAGGGACCAACATAGCATTCATTTAGTTGGAAGCAGGACTCATAACCCCAATCAGTTTACTGACATTTCTATTTTCTGTCTTTTTTTACCTTGTCCATAATGATATTCAAGTGAAGGTGTAACACTTTCTTGAGGCCAGTATAATTTAAGTAATTGTTTTTCAGAATCTTTTTCTCACATCAGCTTATTAACTTTTGTTCAGTTCTATTTTGGTGTGGCTGGCTTATATATTTGTGAAAATGTGCCTCATTGGCTTACCGTACTAGTAAACAGGAAGATTATTTTATAATGAGAATGTAACAATATTCATTCCAGATAGATGTCTGTGATACAGATAAGATCAATTTGGAAATTTATACAATTGCTTTTGCTTAGCTTTAGTACCGGTAGTGCTGAAAGTGCATCTAAAGAACTCTATCTTGTTGTGTATTGTTTGTTCAATCTTAGTATATCTACGCATCACTTTTGGTAAATTGCCTGTAATTTTACAAAACTAAATGTCATTCATTATGGGTGTTTCTGCAATGAATGCAAGTGTGTGGTGGTAAGAAAAAAATCATAACTTTCGACTTAGTTGCGAGTGTTTGTAATTGAACATGTTTGTGTATTTACATTTTTTCCCCTTAAAGATGTTAGTCAGTGTACTGTTCCACTTTATCAGTTTTTAGGCAAATTTTCCAAGAGCATACTATATTCTTGTATTTTGCCACTCGCTAATATTTTTCATGACAGTGTTTTATGCACAGGTACAAAATGCACCATAATCGTATCATCGGCATGTGGTTATTTTTATTAAAATGACGAGTCATTTCTTGTTTGCCTCCATAGACAAATCAACTTGTAGGTCACTGTGGTCCTGATTATTTTAATGGCTTAACAGAGACAAACTAAAGATAAGCAAAAGCTTTTCTGAATAAATTTGACAGTCAGAGATAGACATTTGACAATGAACTGTACTGATTGAATTATTGTATTTTTAATTCATGAAATTTCAACACAAGTAGAAAAATTATGACATTTAATATATTTCTGGAAAGTTGGCAATCATGAATACAAAAATGAGCTTCCTGGATGCATACATAAACCAAACAAATGTTTTAAATCTCTTTCTTCTGGCATACATTGTAGTGGTTTTTACATGTAGTCACAACTAAAAAGCATACAGTAATAAGTTAGTGCTGTTTTCAAGAGGTCTATTGTTTTGAAGGAGCTTGGAAATTGGTTTTGCTTGCAAATGCATTCTCATTTTGTATTTGTGTGTTAGTAAAAGTTGAAGCGTACATTTGTTTATTGAATTCAACAGTACTCCAATACAAGATTAAATCATAACTGTCTTGTAACTGGTGAAAACTTGTTCATAATAATCCTGTATCTGGTTTGCTAGTGACAAAGCAGGAAAAACTTCTTGATATTGAAACTATTTCATTCTTAGCGGAAGACCTGTTAGCTTATAATAAAAGGAAGTTTGATGTTTATGATTTATTGACATCGAAGGCAAATAATAGCCAAACTTAACAAAGATCTGTTTTACATCAAAATCTGTTTTTAATTCACAGATATAAAACATAGCTGAATTTCTGATACATGTAAAATTTAGTTTCTCTATGTTGTCTGCATTTCAGTTACAGCATTAGTCTAAGGTTGTTTCATTACTTTTAATTTACTAATCATATGCAATGTAAGATTTAGCTGTAATATTGACACTTACTTTTTTTTTTTTTTTTTTTAATTGCAGATATCACACTGCAGTGGTTAATTCAGCATTCCAAAGACAGTCGCTGACCGGCTTTTATTGTCTGACCCCTCCCCTTATTAGCCCCTCACTCAAATAATGTTAAACACTTTATCAAACTGGCTTCCAGTATTCATTTTGTTATGCCAAGGGACCAATCAGTTCTAGAGAACCACACCTAGATTGGCTGCGCCCGACAGAAAGCAGGAGTACATCATTACCTGAATGTGTACAAGAAGCTTTTTTTTCTGCCACTGCTGTACTGGTTTCGTGACCAGGGCTGTGATTTGTAAAATGTAAGCATGAAAATAGTTATTGGATGGAAGCACCTTTATAATCTTTGCATTAGTCGAATAGAAACCTTTCACCCTCCAATACATGTTTGTTTTATAGTCAGCGATGAGTGTCTGTCAATGGTGGAGTGACATAGACGTATGTAAATTGTATGTTAATCAATGGTGTAATTATGTGACAATTAGCTTAACCAGGCTTCATACTATTATATGTATTATATAGAAACGAGAAACAAATATTTGGTCGATTTTTTTTTTTTACCAGTTTTTCATAGCATTTATTTTGTCTTTCTCTAGATTTGATTGGCACAGGATCCCAAATGCTTATCCAATCACTGCTCTCAAATTACAATCCCATTTAAGCTCTTTTTAAAAACAAACAATTATTTCATCAGGATATGGCTATTACTTGTGATTTTTTTTTTTGTATTTATGGAAATTTGTAAGTATTTCTTTTGCCTTCAGCTGATTTTTGTTTGGAATAATACTCCATGATTAGGGGTACAGAGAATCGAACTTCAATAAAAATTGATGGAATTTTTTTGTAGCAATTAGCAATATGAATCAAGTTTTATCTGCGAACGTAAATAAATATATAAAAAGCTAATCAACTGCCTGTATGTTAATTTTTCTTCTGTTATTGCATTTTGGGTGGGGTAAGTTTTCTTGCCATTTTATGCAGAACAACAGCACACTTTAAACATGTCATTTCTGTATGTAATTGTTACTCTTCGGTTACCTCCATTCGAACCATGCAGTCATGTAGATGTAATATTTTGACATGGAAAACATTAACGCGCAGCCTATTATTTTGTACTGTTTATGGGTAGGCACAGTCTGGTTATCTTAAATTCAAAGTTTTTTGTGACGTGAACGAGACCCAGACTTCTTCAATTTTCAGGATAATTGCTATAAACCATCAGTATTTTAGGATTGTACAGCGGACAGATGCTGCATTTGGTTGTACTCAATTGTAACTACATTGCTACACGTTTCCATTTTGATATCAAGGGAAAACTGATGCGGTACAATTCCAGAGTCAATTGCTTTATTTTACAGCTGTGCACATACTTTGAAACAAAAGTACAATTGAAACAAATGCGAGGGACCAAAATCATTGCAAGTCTCACCAAGGTACTTTTCAGTAGAGCAAGTTTGGCCAGACAGACAGACAGACAGACAGACAGACAGTTTGTTATGAGGAAGAAAGATATGTGCAGGCAAGCAATAGCTCAGGTTTTTTTTTCATGGATTTCTGATTGTAGACTAAATTGGATTTAGTTTAAACTAAAATATTAATAGATGCTATGAATCATGGGTAGTAATATTTAAGTGATTTATGTTTTCAAAAAAAAAAAAAATTGTGAATCTGAGGAATATATATAAATGGATTGTTTGCCTGTTAAACAGGTCTTACGATTCACTGTTTTCACATAGATGGTACATTTTTACAATTTTGTATTACAGCTATGTTGGCAAGGTAATAGATGTGGTTTTCTTGTAGTGTTGCTAGGGACCGTGGATTAAGGATGTTCAATACAGTTTAACTTTGCAATGGACACAGACTGCTGGTTTGAATATAAAATGCAAATACCATTTAAAAAAGACGAGTGACCCATTAGATTTAATTTGTAGAAAATGTTATGTTTCAAATTTCCTTATTTGAATAATCACTTAATATGCAACAATGAGAAAATTTGAAATGTTCTCACACTATTGAACATCCTTAAATGTACTTTGTAATTCTTTTGCACTGTTGACATTGTTTTCATTGGTTCTATTATGACTTGAAATTTCATAAGAAAAAAAAACAATAAAACCATGACTTTTTAACTCTATATTGAATGTTGAGCTTATTGATAATAATATAAAGTTGCTATTGCTGTTACAACAGTAACATTATTATGAAAGTTTTTACCAACACAAGTGTATCACCTGCATCAAATCCTATTTCACCAAATTAAAGCTCTCACATCAGTAAATTTACAACTTTGATGTCTATTTTCCAAAATAAAATGTCTTCGTGTAACCTTCATTAACATCTTTCATTGAATCAATCCTGGTACTTCATTGGCACCCACAATATCGTCACTTTCTTGTATTACAAGTTTTGTGGTGATGTTTTTAAAAAACTTTTAATATCACTACCAATTAATTCTACTTACAATGAAGGTG